TATATATATATATATGTGTGTGTGTGTGTGTATTATTATTATTATTATTACTAAAGGTGTTTGCCTGCTATGTTCACAACTGGAAAAGATGAAACGCTGAAGTCGGAATGTTTTCCTGAGGCTAAAAAAATTGCAGAAATGTGCTGTTTTGGGCACAGAAGCATACAATAAAACTCCCCCCATCACAGGCTCTGGGTTCACGATCTTGGCATTTTGCTTTCTGTGTGTGTGTGTGGGGGGGGGGTAAATAGCGTTAAGGTTATTCATTTTGTACATTTTTCCTTTGCTGGCATTGTGCGTCATTGTTTTGATTTTAAATCTGGCGTGTCATGATAAAATACCCGTATCTGCTGATTCTGCCAATCAATGCATCACTATCGTTTTGTCAGCCGCTGATTGACGGTCGATGTTTTATTTATTTATTTATTTGTTTGTTTTAAATCACCATTGTAACTAAGTTCTTGATCGGAGGTGTTTCTGAGAAAAAAATCCCTGGTCAAAGTCAGCAACCTATGCAAATCCATTTCAATCTATATCCAAAACTTTTTTTTTCTTTTCAACCCCGAACCAATTTTGCTGCTGTAGACTGCAAATTTCCCCAGTGTGGGACAAATAAAGGTTATCTTATCTTGTCTTAAATCGGTCCATCGAGAGTTTGGAACCACCACGTTTTTCACCTCTGCCAAATGTTTGTTCACTGGCTGTTTTGATCATCACTCATTTTGCCCGCATGCTCGATGACCCGACCTCACTTGACAGAGCATGGCAAGCTTTAAATAGGCCCGCAAGGCAACAAACACACATTGGAAGTTGAGACTAACTTCTTTCCAATTGAGGCAAACTGTGGGTGTAATGGGTTGTTCATGTGCTAAAGAGGGGTTTGGTTACATGGTTCGGAGAAGGGGCCTCGTCCCAGTATTCCACGATGGCAGCTTGATTCAATTGAGAGCTTGGTGAAGATTCTGGCAGGGGGCATGAGGGGAAAAAGCTCTTCTTTCAGTTGAATTGAGGCAAAATCTTTGCCTTTTGGCCTGCCTTCAGTCTTCTCCATTTACTCACTCACTCACGCACACAACCACACACACACAACCACAACCACACACAGACACACACACACACGATTCCTCTCTTTCACACAGACAACTACACAAGGCGAGTGAGGCAGACAGCCACACACGACAGAATGTTTCCGCTGGGAGCACTTGAAGGCCGAGGGGGCCACAGGATAAGTCGTGCTGTAATGTGATGAATATTTTCAAACAGCAGCAGCCTTCTCACTGGCTGCAGCAAGATGTCCGGAGAAGGTTTAACATGCGTACGCAATCACGATGAGGACTGCGTCCACCAGTAAGACTTGCGTCTCACTGTTTTGTGGACGTGAGTGTCACACGTCTTCATTTCTTTGTGCTCGGCAAAGCAGATTCGTCTTTGTCGGTGTGTCCTTAACTGCTCTCAACCACCGGTAATTACAATGTGAGGGCACGCAATTTAATCTGAGTTTAATATGGCCTTTTGTTGCCTTTGCAGGCAACATGTTGACAAAAATACATTCACAATTACATTTTTTTTTCCTATGATCAAGTTAGTCTTCAATTCAGTCTTACACTGCATGTTTGAAGTAGTCAGCAATCAACACAATATGGGGTGGCTTTTTAAAATGGAGTCAGTGACTGACAATAAAATAAAAAAAAAAAAAAGGGTACATTGTAGTAAAAACGTGATGGAACTTGAAAGGCGTATGAAACAGGAGTGCAGTTTATTTCCTTAGTATTCCATTGATTCTGTCACTGTTTCTTCTTTTGGCACTTTGCGGCACTTCCACTTGTGTTGGTTATGGTAGTACCAAGTAATCTACCGGTTCTAAGAATGTAGGAATGTGTAAAATGGCTTTGCCAAAGGACTTGATTTTGCAGGTTGAACCCGATTAAACCGGTTCCAAACCATGCATATTTCAAAGGCTAAAACCTGACTTTTTTTTTTTTTTTTTTTTTTTTGCTGGACTGCTGTTTTTCCCTCACGTCTACGAGTGTCCCCTGACGTCACAAACAACCTGTTTTGCATGCGGGACGTGATATCACGCGTGAATTGATGATAGCTAAATGCCACTCGGTTATTATTTGTGTCTAGAGTTGAGTCACCGTTGTTGGTTTATCAAGTCACAGATAGCAGCTGAGGTAAATCTAGCAGCCGCTGTCTGTTAGTCTCATATCAACTGTGAAAGAAACAAGTGCACGACATGGACTTCCACTTGGCCACATACGCAATGTACCAGCGTAAATATACAATGATCATACCAGTAGAAGCTCCCCCTTCGTTCTCCCACTTTAAAAGGTTTTGGAAGCCCACTCCGGTCTGCCTCTTGGGAATCGAACCAAAGTATGTGGTAATGAAAGGCTTGTCTCTCTCGGTATTTTGGGGTGGGGGCTGCAGGGTGGGAGGGGGGGCTTGGAAGCAGACAATATAACATTCACATCGGAGTCGGCCTCTTTTATGCCTACTCATTGAACCCAAACTAAATACTTGGCATATTCATATTATACAATATTTGATGTACAGCGCTGGCGATTTACTTCATGGTGTTGGACTGAGATAATTAAAGTAGATTTGTCAAGTGGAAGTCGTTGCTGGTGTGAACTACGGTGTTTGCAACCATAGATCACTTTTGGGGGGGAGGGATTTATGATGATTAATGCTTTTCACACGATCCAAGCAGTGATCGCTGCTTACGATCTGGCTGCGGACGCAGTGGAGTCATTTCAGGATTTAAGAATCTGTCTGGCTCCACTTGAAAGGCTCTGCCAGGTGTCCATTGGAGAGGATAAGAAGGACAGACGGTGTTGGATGTGTGCATACTGCACCCACTGACCTGCGCGCACTTGTGGTGTGTGTGCGTGTGCGCGTGCATGCGCTCGTGCATGTGCACCTGCCTGCGTGCGTGCGTGCGTACTGTACTGCACACCGGCCTGACAGACTGGTGGGCCAGTGATGCATTAGCCATGGCCAAAGATTGGTATGGAATAAATAATGGATACCATCCTTTACTTCTGAATAAATCAAGACCTGAGAAATGGAGAGAGACAGGAGATAACATCCAGGAGTGAGTTGGAGAAATTGAGAGTCAGGCAGAGCAGAGTGTTTGTCCAAACCGGAAGAATGTAATGTCGCGGGGTAAAATGCTGTCCTCCTTTCCAAATCTCACCTTTTGTATCGGCATCTTATATCATAAAATTTTTTGGGATGAGATCATTCTCTGTTTTCTTCAACAAATTCTTTGTTCTGTTGTTGACTTTGCATTTCAGGCTGAAGGCCAGATGTTTGCCTTCCCTGATATCTTCCCGGCAAAGATCGGCACGCCAGCAGAGGGTTCCCTGGAAGAGATGCAGGAGAAGTTCATGGATGATGAGAAGCAGAGGCAGAAACCTGACCCGAGGAGAGGAGGGGTCACCGAGTGGTTCGGACTCTGAGGCGTCTCACCTACTGTGTGTGTGTGTGTGTGGGTGTGTGGGTGGGCAGGGCGGAGGCTGTTTCACGGGCTGAAACGCACCGAAGAAGCAACTGTTGGGATGCCATTTCTATTTCTGCATACAAAGCTCACCAGCGTGCACATGTCTGCATCTGTTCTTCTGACTGTGTGCGTGCGTGCGTGTTTCTGTGAGAACTCAGTAATCAGAGCCGGAACAGAATCCTCGGAGGAGGCGAATGGCCCAGTCTCCGTATTTCATAAAACTATCCCACCGTACAACACCTCCATCACCTCAGTTGACCTCCTCTGAGACTTTGTTTCTCCCGCCTCCTTCTGCGGGGCCGCATCGTTTCTCCCCAAAATCCCGTTTGCTCGGAAATCTCATTTCGAGTGATTAACAAATATGAAAATTGTACATGGACACTTGAGTAGCTGTTAATATTTGTACCATTCTTGCCAAGTGTGAAATGAACCATTGTTAGTGTTAAAATGTCAGCACAATAAAGTCCTCTTAAAAATTTATAAAGTCCAAGATGTCTCCTGTCATGACTGTCACACAAGAAGTTGAAGAACCCCCTGCTAATGTGAAGTATAGTGTCAATCATTAAAGCGCACTACCTTAAATAATAACACTGTGGACTAAAGTTTTGGGACAGTGCTTAAGTCATACAGCAACATCCCGTAAAACAGAACTATTGAGGATTTACTTTTTAATATTTGTATACATACATACCATCAAGGGTTCGGTGACACAACCAACTACAATCTTTTGTTATCTGTCTATTTCTGAAAATGCGAGGGCAAGCCGCTCTGCACTTCCATCTCACTGTTACTGAACACCGAGTTGCTCAGCCAATGACTGGCAGCTAGGCTGGCTGCAGTTTCACAGTCAAAGTTCCACTTTGACATGGCGGCTGAGACACGATTTTGTCAAAGCCGAAGGGTAGGCAGATCTGCATGGAGTGTTAGCACAGATTATCACGAGCGAACAGTGTTACCAGCATTATAATGTTCAGGCTAAAGTGATGATGTTAGGGTGGGAGGAGTAAAGCCGGTTTTTATTTTTTATTATTTTTTTTTTAATGACTCCTTTAATGTCTTGTGCAATATTGCTTACCAGCAATATGAAATCCACTTTAGAGGTGACTTTTTTTTTTATTTCTTTTTTTGTCCAATACCAAACTATGACTGGGGTTCACTGCAACTTCACGCATGCTTTGTCCATCTTTCTTACTCTTCCGCATGTTTCTTCACTGGTCTTCCTCTGACACGGCACGAACAGAAGTGGTATGGTATTCCTTACAGCTTTGACTTTCAGCCAGTTGGAAGAGACCGCCAGGACAACCCACATCCTTTTCTTTTTATGAGTTTGCCTTGGATTAATTGACCAATTTAGGTAAACAACATTTGAGATGTTTCAGCAAAGCAACATCATGCAGTGTTTTATTATTTAGTTCTAGCACCTCTTGCCATGAGTTGAGAAAATTTGTCTAATTGTTACTGCTTGTTGCAATAAGAAGCAATAAACAGTCACTTGCCCAAAAGCGGCGCGCTTGCTTTTTCTTGCTCTCCTCGCCTCATCTTCCATGACCGCTGCACTCAACAACCGTCTCTCCGAACTGCTGCTCGCCACACGCGCTGGCACGCACACGTGCCAGCGTGGTCTGGTAGCTCTTTTGACAAAGTAATGATCTGTGATTGAATCGGACCACTGGAGGACTGAGCTCTCTTACGGTAAAAAGGCCCATAAAGGGGAGGGACCGCTCCCAGGCCTGCTCAGACCCTCCATTATGCCTGCGGGCCAAGGTTACAGTTAAAGTGTCCCCCAGCCGTGACCACAAAATGCTGGCTCATACGAAAGCTCTGGTCCCCGACCCACAGCAAGCTAACTCTTCTATCACTAAGGAGAATGTCAATATTGATCCTGTTGGCCCATTGTGTGCTGCCCGGAACTGCTCGCCCCCTGCGCCGCTTTCAAGTGAGCTGATTCTCAACACTGCAATTTACTTATTACTCAGCTATTCTGTCTCTCATCTCGATATACTCGCTGTGTCCCCCCCCCCCCCCCACCGACACACACACACACACACACACACACACACACACACACATACACACAAAATGTATTTTCTATTTGCAGTTTGTTTTTTTTTTCCTCAGGAAATTCTAGTTCTACTTTTGCTGCCCTTGACCCCCTGAAGGTAACCATTTAGTTTACTGGGAACCATATTTGGTCACAACTTCTATTCACAATGGAAGCCGCACTCCTCACTAGGAGACAGGATGTAATTTCCAACCAGCGAAGCGTGATAGTAATAGTCAGGATTTATATAACACAATGAAAAAGAAACAGGTCATACTCATGCTAAAATATATTTTAAGGATAATTCAGTCACCCCCCCCCAAAAAAAGTAAGGATGACAATCGATCTAGTCTAGGCACTACAATTTTCAAATGCATTTGTTATATGCACTTCTCCTTCTCCCTCTTAAATTCTCTGTGAATCATGCAAAGATCCAAAAGATGACATTTAGGCAAATTTAAGACTTGTGACGATTCCATCATTAGTTTCATCAGTTGACTATACTGTATTAATGATATCATATATATCCATCCATTTTCTGATCCGCTTTATCCTCACAAGGGTCGCGGGGGTGCTGGAGCCAATCCCAGCTGTCTTCGGGCAGTAGGCATGGGACACCCTGAACTGGTTGCCAGCCAATCGCAGGGCACACAGAAACGAACAACTATCCGCGCTCACACCGAGGGACAATTTAGAGTGTTCAATCAGCCTACCATGCATGTCGTTGGAATGTGGGAGGAAACCGGAGTACTCGGAGAAAACCCACGCAGGCCCGGGGAGAACATGCAGAGTCCACACAGGGAGGCCGGAGCTAGAATTGAAGCCGTTACCTCTGCACTGTGAGGTCGCCACGCTAACCACTGGATCACCGGGCCGCTGTTATGTGGCAAAACAGCAGGCCAGGTGAAAAAAAAATTAAAAGTCACTTCAGCCAGGATCCAGGAAGGAGATTTTCCCGTTATCTTTATTGCAAGTGCAAACAGCTAACGAGGTTTAGCAATTACTTTTCCTGAAATAATTAGCTTTCTACAAAATGCATTAAGCATCACGCACTGACATCACACAGTAACAGTTTTGGATGGAGAGAAATGTGCCCCTTTCTCCCCATCCAAAATCCACAAAAAAAAAAAAAAAAATTTAATATGTGTCATTTGGCATCATAACAGCCGCCCATATTTTATAATATATATATATATATATATATATATATATATAAGATTTTCTATGTAAAGGACACCTTTCTTAACACTATCAAACTGAACATCTACATAGTTGGACAGTTGTGAACCAACCACTGCATTTGATTGTTGTTTTTTGGGGATCCAATTTCACTCGCTTCTTTTAAATATCGGACTGAGAACAGCGGACATTTTGTCGGATTCTAATAATCTCCCTTTACAGTGTTAGTAATGAAACAAGTTGGTCTGAAACTGTCCGAGATAATATTCAATTCATGTTTTATGATTGTGTTTTGTGGTTTTCACGGGTCTAAAGTTCCATTGCCTCATTTCTCAAAGGTGCTAATCTGTTGATCGTTGGTCACCGGATTGGTCGAACACATTTGGATGATGACACACAGAGAAGAAGATGATTTGAACCTTGTTTTTCAGAGCATTGTCAGACAGTCAGTTGATGAGATCATTGCTGCTCCCACTGATGAGTAAGTCAGTGAGCAGAATCAAACAGGCTGCAGGAGGTGTTAAACAATTGAATGACTCACGGATCGTCGAGACATAATAAAGTCTTAACGGCCTGATGTCTGTTTTCAATTTGAGGGAATGCTTGGAGGTTCTATAACGACGTGATAATAATGATATGCTCACATTTTTGACTCATAATCACAGGGATTTACTTGGAAGGTAATAAATAGTACGGTGTGAGATGCGCTTTTCAGAAGTATATCATTTCATATTTCGAATTTGAAGATGTGGCAACTCAGCCCAACTAGCAGAGCGTCTGCTTGTGAATAAACCAGATGACGGATGATCTTGCCAGAAAAGAACGTCGAGTACGTGAGGGTCGACCACTAAATGCAAGATTTAGCCCCAAATCAATAGCGGAAAAATTGTCATTTATATAAGATGCATATATCATGTTCCCCCAACATTTACGAGACAGCTTCATGCATCCACACTACGCTTAATTTACCGTTGCCACAGCCATTGTTTGTCTTTAACTGATGAGTGGAGGAGCACGCTGAGTCATAAACCTGGCCAGGCCAAGACCTGAATGCTGACATTAAAATTCACTCAACCTTTCAGGTGAACTTGATTTGACCTTGTCTGAACTTTTAAAGACAACCAACTGTTCAGTGTTTCTGTTTTCTCATAAAGGAACGAGCGAACGGCAAATTTCATAATCCGTATTTGATCCATGAATCGATCAGTAGATCTCCTGGTTCAGTTCCATTTGTCATTGAAACAGTCTTCATTTTGTAACATGATTTTCTCAGACAGAAGTGACAACTGAGCTTGACGTGTCACAGTCTGTCATCAGCGGGTTACAACAGAGACACATAGAGACTTGAAGAGTCACAGAAAGGCGTAGAAGTGGATGGCCTTGCAAAAAACAACAGCCCATTTTGACTGTTGGCTCCTTGTTCGAGAACAGCACGTTGTGAAAAAAATAAGATTGAAACAATGAACAACGGCACATGTTGACAAAGGGTCAAATTAAGTTCAACCGGGAATGTTGGAGTCCTGATATTTTACCAATATCCTGAACTTTTTGCAACGAGCTTATCATTGTTCTGCTAATTTTGTAACTCTGAACCACTCAAATGACCTGTAGATTAAGAGTCAACCCCATTTAACAGAATGACTGAACTGACCACAGACACCCGATCCTCCCTGAGAGAAAGTGGAGCCTGGTGCTCCTCTCTGGTATTTTGCTACGACAGAGACTACAGGATTTCTGTGTCTGAAACTCTTCAAAATTAAGTTAAAAACAATAAAATTGAGAACGGAACTCACCAAGTTAACGTAATCGTTGAAAACCACGTAGCTCATATATATATATATATATATATATATTTTACAGGTAACTCAATAATGTGTCCTGGAGAGAGCGGTCCCCTCTCGTTGCAGTTCACAAAGCTTATACAGTATTTAAACGCTCGTTTTTGTTTAGTTTTTGTTCAGTATGAAGGCATTTTAGAGTTGAGTTTTCAGTGGAGTACTGTACCACTCTATGCCGCAACGTGCTGGGGAAGCACTGAAGGAAGTGTTACAGCAAAATGAAGAGCAGGAAGTGGGCATGACACCTTCAGTGTCATGCCATACCACGTTTTGTGATTTTAATATTTGTCGGTCCTGCAGAAGAGAGAGAAAATTCATCTGTGAGTATTGTTCTATGCTCCGTTTGTGTTGCTGCTCCATGTGCGTTCAAGTAGAAGTTGTACATATGAAAGTTTATAACATGTTATAGCGATGCTACTTTCCATCA